GATGATGATGATGATGATGATGATGATGATGATGATGATGATGATGATGATGATGATGATGATGATGATGATGATGATGATGATGATGATGATGATGATGATGATGATGATGATGATGATGATGATGATGATGATGATGATGATGATGATGATGATGATGATGATGATGATGATGATGATGATGATGATGATGATGATGATGATGATGATGATGATGATGATGATGATGATGATGATGATGATGATGATGATGATGATGATGATGATGATGATGATGATGATGATGATGATGATGATGATGATGATGATGATGATGATGATGATGATGATGATGATGATGATGATGATGATGATGATGATGATGATGATGATGATGATGATGATGATGATGATGATGATGATGATGATGATGATGATGATGATGATGATGATGATGATGATGATGATGATGATGATGATGATGATGATGATGATGATGATGATGATGATGATGATGATGATGATGATGATGATGATGATGATGATGATGATGATGATGATGATGATGATGATGATGATGATGATGATGATGATGATGATGATGATGATGATGATGATGATGATGATGATGATGATGATGATGATGATGATGATGATGATGATGATGATGATGATGATGATGATGATGATGATGATGATGATGATGATGATGATGATGATGATGATGATGATGATGATGATGATGATGATGATGATGATGATGATGATGATGATGATGATGATGATGATGATGATGATGATGATGATGATGATGATGATGATGATGATGATGATGATGATGATGATGATGATGATGATGATGATGATGATGATGATGATGATGATGATGATGATGATGATGATGATGATGATGATGATGATGATGATGATGATGATGATGATGATGATGATGATGATGATGATGATGATGATGATGATGATGATGATGATGATGATGATGATGATGATGATGATGATGATGATGATGATGATGATGATGATGATGATGATGATGATGATGATGATGATGATGATGATGATGATGATGATGATGATGATGATGATGATGATGATGATGATGATGATGATGATGATGATGATGATGATGATGATGATGATGATGATGATGATGATGATGATGATGATGATGATGATGATGATGATGATGATGATGATGATGATGATGATGATGATGATGATGATGATGATGATGATGATGATGATGATGATGATGATGATGATGATGATGATGATGATGATGATGATGATGATGATGATGATGATGATGATGATGATGATGATGATGATGATGATGATGATGATGATGATGATGATGATGATGATGATGATGATGATGATGATGATGATGATGATGATGATGATGATGATGATGATGATGATGATGATGATGATGATGATGATGATGATGATGATGATGATGATGATGATGATGATGATGATGATGATGATGATGATGATGATGATGATGATGATGATGATGATGATGATGATGATGATGATGATGATGATGATGATGATGATGATGATGATGATGATGATGATGATGATGATGATGATGATGATGATGATGATGATGATGATGATGATGATGATGATGATGATGATGATGATGATGATGATGATGATGATGATGATGATGATGATGATGATGATGATGATGATGATGATGATGATGATGATGATGATGATGATGATGATGATGATGATGATGATGATGATGATGATGATGATGATGATGATGATGATGATGATGATGATGATGATGATGATGATGATGATGATGATGATGATGATGATGATGATGATGATGATGATGATGATGATGATGATGATGATGATGATGATGATGATGATGATGATGATGATGATGATGATGATGATGATGATGATGATGATGATGATGATGATGATGATGATGATGATGATGATGATGATGATGATGATGATGATGATGATGATGATGATGATGATGATGATGATGATGATGATGATGATGATGATGATGATGATGATGATGATGATGATGATGATGATGATGATGATGATGATGATGATGATGATGATGATGATGATGATGATGATGATGATGATGATGATGATGATGATGATGATGATGATGATGATGATGATGATGATGATGATGATGATGATGATGATGATGATGATGATGATGATGATGATGATGATGATGATGATGATGATGATGATGATGATGATGATGATGATGATGATGATGATGATGATGATGATGATGATGATGATGATGATGATGATGATGATGATGATGATGATGATGATGATGATGATGATGATGATGATGATGATGATGATGATGATGATGATGATGATGATGATGATGATGATGATGATGATGATGATGATGATGATGATGATGATGATGATGATGATGATGATGATGATGATGATGATGATGATGATGATGATGATGATGATGATGATG